CAAGAGCTGTTGCGTCATCTGCGAATAAAATAATTTTAGCATTACTGATATGTTTTAGTAAATCATTTACATATGGTAGAAATACGTGTGGGCCAAGCCCGCTGCCTTGTGATGTACCAAGGTCCAAATCAAATGTATCTGAAGGGCACTGGTATCACGTATCTTGAAAAGTGACATAAGCATAAGCTCGTTTTTGTCGCACCAATCCTGTATGTCACATATTATAGGTTTTGTTTTGCACTTAACTTCATCCTCTGAATCACCAACAAGAAGAGCTGTTGCGTCATCTGCGAATAAAATAATTTTAGCATTACTGATATGTTTTAGTAAATCATTCACATATAGTAGAAATACGTGTGGGCCAAGCCCGCTGCCTTGTGATGTACCAAGGTCCAAATCAAATGTATCTGAAGGGCACTGGTATCACGTATCTTGAAAAGTGACATAAGCATAAGCTCGTTTTTGTCGCACCAATCCTGTATGTCACATATTATAGGTTTTGTTTTGCACTTAACTTCATCCTCTGAATCACCAACAAGAAGAGCTGTTGCGTCATCTGCGAATAAAATAATTTTAGCATTACTGATATGTTTTAGTAAATCATTCACATATAGTAGAAATACGTGTGGGCCAAGCCCGCTGCCTTGTGATGTACCAAGGTCCAAATCAAATGTATCTGAAGGGCACTGGTATCACGTATCTTGAAAAGTGACATTATGTCGTTTTTTTTTTGGCATTATGCTGGTTTTTTGACATTATGTAGGTTTTTCTACAAGATGTTAACTTAGCACTTAACTGTATGTGTTGCCTAAACGTCATGAAGCTAGTTTTAAATCTTTGGCTCTGATGTGATGTAAAATCTGCTTCTGAGATGGCATTACTCGAGGTCTGAGCTGTAAGTTGTATGTGTTAATGATAATTACATTGGGTTCTTGTCTCAAGTACACTTAATTGAGATGTAAAGCTAGAAATTAGTTGCGCATCCACTTTTTCTTATCCATTCTGGAAATTACATACCTATAGGAACTTGCTGAATTTTAAAAATGAGAGAGATAAGAAATAATTATATTCGTATTCACTGTACACTGTCGAATTACAAGTCAGCTTCATGCTAATAGTAATTACACACAACGCGGGCGCGGTGATAATTTCTCGTAATTCTCCTCAGTTTCTCGTAATTTATAACTTTGAACATAACCTCTCTTCAGAAAGCACAACATAAAAATAACCCATCGGGCACAGCCAATATATATATACTTCATTGGCAGCATATTCGGTAATGATTTTCTCACACAGCAAATATCACTGATTTTATATACATGCAGACCAATACACATAATCATCCAGATACGATCTTGTTATTCAACCAACTTTCTTCTCAGAGATAAAAACTACAGACATTGACCATTTGGCCTCACAAAACATATGCAACCAATAATGCGTGTAGTTCAGATGGACGTTCACAACTATCCTAGTGAGCAAACGTGGAATGACTGCGCCCTATAAAAATATCTAGTTTGCAGGATGACATCTTATAGGTTTTTTTTTGACGTTTTATAGGTTTTTTACATGATACCCATGCGGGTCTCGTTTACCCTAACAACGATCCTACGCCGAGATAAAAACGAGTGAATCCAATCGTCGACAAAGCAAAAATATGGCGGTTACATATCTATTTCTGGCGGTTGTACCCGTTTCGGTTGAAAATCCCGGTCTAAGTCCATGTTGACAATTTGTTAAGTCGACATTTCAAAACAAATTGCATGTCGTCATTGCCACCTACTCTACAATTCAGGTTTTCTTCTTTCATCGCCAACTTTGTTTTTTATATGGAAACAGAAGTTCCTAAATACGCCTTGAAATTATCAGCTTTGTTTTTCACCAAATCTCAAATTGAACATAGCTACAGCCTTTTGACAAGAAGAGAAATAAATCGAGCAATGAACAATATTCAGACAAGAGTCAGCCTTTGTCTAAAAATAATAGAAATTTGAAACAACTATTATGATTTACCTCTGCTTACTTATGATTATTATTGTTGTTGCCGTCAATTAAGTTTTCATTTTCTACTTAGACATCAGACTCAAGGCCATCTTAGGAACTACATCACTGAATTTAAAATCGCAAAGTCCATTTAAATGTACAAAATTTCAACATAGCGTCGAGTCGAAAAAACAAAGTCGGTGATGGAAGTCGAAAGAGGAAATGTCGAACTGGACATTTGCTTACGCCATCTTGTAGTGGAGAATAAGCAGCAATGAGAACATGCAATTTATTTTGAAGTCCCAACTCAAATCTCAAAACAAATGACTATAATTTTAAAGCCTACCTAGAGAATTCAGCTTTTTTTAAGTAACTAAGGTTTGGCAGTGCCAATGTATGACGTATTATACATCTTTGTAATCAGAATTGAAAACTCTATTGGTCTGTCCAAAAATCCAAGCATTTATAAGAAAAAATAGTGTTGATTCTGGAGGACAAGTGACGAAACGTCATATTGAAATTCTAATTACGTCCTCTTGTAGAGGAGAAAAAATGGCAGTGTATATGTACAATTTATTTTGAAATCCAACTTCGAAAACATTTAAATGGTTTTGGGTAAATTTGGTTTTTGTACTTTGGATTTCGAAACATTCTGAGCGGCATTTTGTTAATTACCTAAATACGCAACTTTACATCCATTTAAGCGACTTCCTATCTCTTACAGTTTCCGAGATCCCAATGCTGAGGGTCGGATTTGAACCACACTGAGACGATGATACTAGACACAGCCAACCACACACAGCTTCTTGGCAACTCATCAGCATGGTCTAGGCTTGGTCTTTGGGACATCGAACAAAAGCTGTCCTCTATCTGGGGCATGAGATCTATCATAATCATAAGACAGCACAAAACGCCATCTGTTACCCGAATCAACCACTGCCAGAGTGTATAGAAGCAATCGATTGGAGCTATAAAGATCTTAGTTCGCGTTTGATAGCACAGTGACCATTGTGACCGCTAGAGGCTCACGATTTGGCCGGTATCGCAGACGTGGTATTTTCGCCAATGACCATACACCGCCAGAATCCTCAGCATCTAGCGGTCAAAGTGGTGACTGGGCGAACTGGAATCTTTAGACTTCCAAATGATAACTCCTATATTATACATCTCACAATGTGGGATTTTGGTAACGGATGGCGCTTGTGTCTTATTTCGATGTTACTGAAATTATTGTTGATAGATAGTGTTTCCTCTGTATATTGTCTCAAAATTTGCTAGAATAAGTTGAATTTCCCTTATATTAAGCAATTTAGGGTAGCATCCATCAGTCAACCAAAACGTGGTAAACTTGATCTTACTCTGTCACACATTGATTGACTATCCCAGCTTAATATATCATGCGAGAATTAGGTGCTTCCTCCGAAATTCCAGTGGTTTCCGTTATAACGAAATTCCGCGCCTTGCCAGATATTTATCAACCCCTCATTCTCTCCATTTTAGATTAATATGGAGATGGTGGATTATTGGAATGCGAGGGGTTAATTAATGGGTGCCTTATCGGCGTATTTCGGGGGTGGGAATCGAGCTTTTTCATGAGTAATGTGTCACGGATGAATATTTTGGGATTGAGTCGTTATGATGGGGGTAATTTGTCAGTTTCTAGAGTCGTTTACTTGCCACATGCAGCTTGATGGATCTACGTTTGATTTGAAAAGGTGGATCACCATGAAAAAGTTAATTGGGGTAGATATCGCTGAGTTACATAATTGATGATTGATGCTTGTGAAAGACGAAATTGGGGTCAATAAAGAGGTAATGAAATAAACAGGATATCCAACATTAAGCTTATTATATACCTACGCTTTGTGAGGAGCTATGGACTTATATATGAGAAAGTACTGACTAGTTTTTTCGAAGACTTGAAGATATCTAAATTAGACAGGCTTTCGAAAAACATGAAAAGAACTATAGTCATAAGTGGTTTCAAAATATTCTCAGAAAAATTGAAGTTGGGGTTCAGTTCGTATAGAGATTTCTGGATCTAGATCCGATTGACGATGCTTTACATCGAAAGGCCTTGTCCGCCGGTCTGTCTGTGTGTCGGTCCGCTAACCATTGACCCGTCTATAACTTGGAAAGTACCAGTCGAATTTTGATGAAGTCTTACACAACGTTACTACTATGCCCAGGACAAAAAAGCTTCGAGGGCGGAGAATAAGGCCTAAAACAGGAAGATAAAAATCGCTTAACGTTCGTTATAACGTTTTATAAGGAAATTGAGAATGGATGGTTGCAGGGGCTGAGGCAGGTGTATTGAAATGTTTTGATGATACTATCTTAATACACTTCCAACCCCAATAATTACACATCATAGATTGTCCTGTAAATTTGAGCTTAAAGCTTAGTATGGTAGAAAAATGTTTTGCGTAGGCGTCCCTGCGTCTGCTGACTTAATGGGGTACCGCCGACGTGCCGGTGTTTGTATGTGTTCTGCATTACCGGTGCTCTGTGTCAGCTTTGCCGCTAGTGACGCATCATGCTTTGAGATATTGGGAGAGACGACGCGACGTAGTCTGATGGACAGTACTACTGGTACAGCAGGGAAACAGACCTGTGACGGACTTGACCGTTTAATTGCTTTGTTATTCATGTCCTTAATTAACTTTGTTCTTATCGGCTCCAACTTAAACATGCTGCTTTCGTCCACCCAGCCCAAGACAGATAACCTCAAACAGCTGCTTCGTACTGTTTAACAACTCATCAGCATACTCTAGGCTTGATCTGAGGGACAACGAAAAAAAGCATAGCAACTAGGCTCTATCCAGAATATAAGGTCTATGCCGTTATCTTCTTTCGGTAGGGTCTAACTTGAGCTGAGCATAATCCTTTTCGAACTGTTGACAGTACTGCGTGGGAAGTGCAGAGTCCACCTACTTGACCCCATTTTTCGGGAAAGATTGTCGGAATAAAGTTTCAAACTGTTGCACCATTAATTCTTACGTTATTTCTTTTCTTACGGGCATATTCTATCAAGTTCCTGCTAGCATAAGCTTTAAGTACTGACATCTCAACTACCATACTTCCAAACTTATTCCTAGCATCGCTCAAGGCAGGGTAATCTTCTACACCAACTGCGCTGCTGCTTTCGAATGACACCGCTTTAAATGAGTTTTTATCAGCAACAGTAATATTAAACTTCAGCACAGGTTTTTAAACGATATAGTAATAGCGTAGGGAAAAAGAACCGGCAAAAGCGCCGGAATAAGTTGCACACGTATCGCGCTCAGAGCTAGGAAAGAACTCGCAATAGAGGCACGCTTAGCTTTGTTCAAATAGAAAAACAAAAGGAAACCCAGGGCTGCCTTGTTAAATCGGAATTTCCCTGTTTGCGCTGTGAGACATATAACGCAGAGGCTCCCTTGAGCTAGAATGATTGAGAAACAAGGGTTGGAAGGGAAAAACGATACCGTTTTGGAGAACAGTGGATTTCGAAGGAAGGCATTATCAAATTATCACCGATTTTCTTGAGATTAACTTTAATCTGTTTTGGACGTATATTGTAGTCTTTTAAATTGAAATCTCATTGTAAAAATATGTTCTCCACGATCAATCGAAAAATTTGATGTGTATTTTGAACCAAAGCCCGTTTGGTGGGTGAATCGGAAACATAGATTACGAGTTTGAAAATTTCGTATTTCGCTTTTAAGGCTTCCGCCCACCCGCTTGCTTGAGTATAAAAGAATGGCGTCAAGTAGATTAACTGTATACTTCCCAAGCTTTCAAAGCAACTTCATGCTCAATTTTCCATGTAATGCATCAAAAAGACGTAGGTTTTTTCAGAACCATGCACTAATTGTCTGTCAATCTGACGGTCTGTTGGTTTGTCGATCTGTCGGTCTGCGGTCTGTCTGTCTGTCGGTTTGTACTTGAGAAGTGGCAAACGGATCTTGATGAAATTTTCACTCAAGTTTACTACTATCCCAACGACGGAAAAGCTTTGCAGTTCTTTGAATACCGATTTTGTGGCGGCAACTAAAAAGGCGACAAACGAGAAAAATAATAGAAACCGCCGAAGCTTTGTTTTTTACGGGCAAAACATTGCTAGGTGGGGGTTGTAGGGAAGTAGGGGTGGATGTTTTGCAATTGTTGATGTCCGTATATCAATATACTTCCAACCATAATAATTTTACGCACCTATTAGGCATATTTCACACATCCTAGATAAACCCGTACATTTGTCCTTGAAACTGAGAACGATAGAACAGTGTTTTAGATAAGCATCCATGTGTCTTGCATGGCTGGGCACTCTGCCACGTGTGATGCATCATGCTTCTGCGGGAAGAGCAGTGACGTTGCCAGATGGGGGGCACAGTTGGAGCAGGAAAATGACATTATGAGCTAATTGTATGAACCTGTTTGACATACTTAGGGCCCATTTCACCAACGCTCATATTATGGACCAATGGGCAAATACCTTATCGAAATGCAATTTGACAGAAGCTGTCAAAGGTCTCAGAATATCAGTGATTTTTATTAAAATATTGAATAAAATCGTGAAAATCCGACTGTATTATAAACAAGACCGCTTCTTGATTCCAATATGATGCTTTTGTACAGAGAAAACAGGTCAACTTTCATGTATTTTGATTTGTGTTATAAATTTACATTTAACAATCAGTTATCCCCAAACGCCAATGGGAATGCGGCAAATAATAGGTCGATTTTCTAACTGTTAAATTTGGCAGCAGATTTGGACGTTTGTTAATGCATGGTAATCTCAAATTTAAGTTCAATATACTGTTATCATTAGTGTGGATTTGTCTGTATTTTGCAAGAAAATAGAATATAAAATATATTCCATCCAATTCCTCATCTTCCTTTACATCATAGTAGTCATTTATCAATTTACGGGTTAATGAATTTCTTCAAAGCAATAAAAACATTGTCCTCTCCATCCTAAAACACATAAAATACGTGTAAGACGTGTCAATTCCTACATATCCGTGATGCATAATGCAATTACTATAGACATAGACAAAAAATTATGAAAAATCTCACGAATAATGTCTTTTAAGTCCAAAAATCATAAAAACTATTAATGTTTATTGTTTGACTTTTTCACTGGTGGGGTTATCTATCTGTCACTCGCAGGGTTGCCAAGTTGCTGGTTTTGTATTTATAGTAGGAATACAAACATAATACTTATGATAGTTGGAGCTAGACTGATAACACTTCTTGAAGAATATTTGAAAACACCGTCATGGTCTGTTGTCAAATTGCAAATGAAGTATCTGAAAATTCTTACATACAGTGGACCTTCGTCATAGTTTACTATCCTGATTGTGATCATTTTTAGCAGATGTGTTGTATCATCAAGTTGATGAACAAATATAAGAAACCTCATACAGAGGGTTTTTCATGTAAATTTACTAGGTATCATGATTATAAGCATCTTTAGTGGATTGTTCGATCCGTAATGGGAAAGATCTCCTAATTATGAAAATATTTTTGGTATCATCTAACCGTTGCAATCAGCGCACAAAAACTGTGACATTTGATTTATAGCATAACCCGCTGCCCTATCAATACAAATTTAACATACAGGTCGCCTAGCTGTGGGGATGCAGTGGTCGGGATGAATATCACGGCAGCAACTGATGATTTGGGCATGTCTGGTAACAACGTATGAAGTGACACTCGCTAACTTCACAAATTTGAAGATTTTGTACAATTTCTTTGAAAATGATGAAAGATATGTATGATTTGGCAGGGTAATCTCGCAGCCAAATAGCAGTCACTCTTTCTGACACAGTCCGGATCGAAAGATGACGATACTCGTGAAATGCCTTGATACTTCTAAATATAGCATCCTGTCGAACATCCTTACTGTCAAGATATAACCCGAGGTACTGACGGAGCTATTTTGCAGCGTCATGGAAATAATTTTAAATTTTCATTTGCATTTCCAAGTGTTGTGCAAGGATTTTAGGAAAAATTCCACGAATACTCTTATAAAGCATAGTAGAGTATATTTCAACAGTTGGCGGAGCTTACTCCACTGGGACCAGGGGGGTGAAATGGGATATTAATGCACAATCTGGAAACCACGTCGCACCCTCCCAAAATGGCCGCTGACAACCACACAAGTCACCGTGTTGTCATTGTATAGCATGGAATTAAACCTTCTTCAGAGTATATGTTTTGTGACTGGGACCAAGAGTTGACAGATCCCACACGTGTGTCACTCGATGAGTCTTGAAATGCAATAATCGGCTGTATTCAAATAATGTCTAATATAAATATAACCTAGAATTTAATACTAGTGAAAAAATGAAAAATATGGCAAATTTGTAGTTTTTTTGCCGGTTTTAGGTTTGCTGGTAGCTTCAAGGCATATATTTGAGAATTTCTTAATCGCTGTGAAGATAGTGTGGATGTTTCTTCAGTTCCTGAACAACGAAAAATATTCAACTTTATGGATATATGGATATCAAAAGACCTGAATGGTTTTGTGGGAATATCAATCTAAGGTGCCATAATGGTTCTGATGAACGACAAGTAAATGAATGAATGCTTGGAAACGAGCAATATCTATGAACTTTTTGGTAAAACAGTAAAATTGCATATCAATTGAAGAAAATAATATAAACTTGGACAAAAAATCAACAATAGTAATTAAAACATGAATTTAATTCAAAAATCAAACATTTCTTTAAATTTTGACTGAATTATATGTAATTTCTTAATATTCAATAAGCTGGTGATATTTCAATGACAAGATATCATCTCATACTTTGACAGTATTTTGTTTTCAACATTTCATAGCTATTGGTTGCTAAAATTTGTTGATTGGAACTTTAAGCTCATTCGTTGTATACAGGGTGACTTTGAAGTTGAGTCATTAATTTTCAGATAATGATTGTAGAAGGAAGATAAACCAAAATATGTGTGTAAAAATAAAAAAAAATAAAAAAAAAATTTTACCTTGTTTTATAAAGTATCCTCCCGACAAGTATTTCAGTGCGGACCTGTATTTGATCGTGAGGTCCCCTGTGAGGTCTTAAGTCACCTGATTCACAAGCCCGTTGTACTACATTAACAAAGGCACGAGGGGTTGGTTGCACTCGATTGGGAAACCGATCCGCATAAACATGTGCCATTTTTTATTTCGTTTGAGCCACGCAACACATACCACTATTCACTGACACTAACTGTATACAAATGAATGAGATACCTGTAAAAACATCGTTCCAAGTTCTTTCGCTTTTTTGTTTCCGATGCGATGAACCGATACGGCGGATTATATCCATTGTCGCCAAACACGACCACATAATATTGTTATTGAGACAGGGCGGTACTCAAACTTACAAAGGGCTATAACTTTGTTACTTTAATTTTACCAGGAAAATGATAAAGGAAAAAAACATTTCTTTTGATCAGATCTACTCACTGTTAAAATAAATGACTCAACTTCGAAGTCACCCTGTATATCGGACTGTTACCCTATAGGTGGAGAATAACGGACTGTTGATTTGACAACCTTGGTGAAACCCACCCTTAATTCGTTTAATTTCACTGTTATTCATGTTCGCAACTAACGTTTTTCTTAGAGGGGTCTAACTTAAACATGCTTCTTTGATCCGTCCGACCAAGAACAGCCAACCGCAGACAGCTGTTCCGTGCCATCAGCTTGGTCTCTGGGACAACGAACAAAAGGATAGCAAACTCTATGTCTTATTTCGTTAGAGTCTACGTTGTGCTGTCACAGTCCTTAATGAACTGATGACGGCGATGCGTGGGAAGTCTAGAGTCTTGATGCCATTTTCGTTGAAGCAAATCAATATAAAACAATTAAACCTCAGCCTTTTCTTTTAGTTTGAGGTCGATGGAGCAACACTTTCATTGTTATACCTATATGTTTTCTGCCTTGAGGCTGATACATAAGCATATTACAGAAATTTCTTCTTACCGATGTCTGTCGTGCAGCACACTACTCCCTCTTCAGGGTGATCTGGATCTCTAATCCAGACTTTCGAATATTCATCATCAACCCCACTATTATTTTGTATAAAAAATATAATTTATAATCCCGATTTCAATGATGTATAATGAGTCAGTATACGAAATAATCAAGCTTCTGCTTGCCAACCAATTTTAA